TGTATATGTATATATATATATATATATATATATATATATATATATATATATACACACACCTTGCTACGTGTACTGCGTTAGGCTAACCGAGACTTGTCATTTGCACTTATATATTGTTGATCTTTTGTTAGTTTGACTGCTTTTATTGTCCTGATTTGTAAGTCGCTTCGGATAAAAGCGTCTGCTAAATGACTAAATGTAAATGTAACTCAAATACATATCTATGTTCATATAGATATATTAGTCATTTTAAATTGTAATAGTATTACACAATATTACTGTTTTTACTGCATTTATGCTAAAATAAATGTAGCCTTAGTGAGCATAGGAGACTTCATTAAAAACATTTAAAAACAATCTCACCAACCCCAAAGGTTTCAATGTTTGAATTTATGTAATGTTTACATATATTGCTGTCAGCAGTAAAGCCACATATTCATCCAGTTTGGCTTTCAGTGTTGCAGCAGTGCAGCATTTATCAAGTTGTTTGTTCTACCTTTCTGTTGTTTGTAGCATCATCCTCTATTTTTGTTGTATTCACAGGCCACAGAGGAGAAGGAGGAGATGGAGGAACTTCAGGCCTATAACCGTCGGCTTCTCCACAACATCTTGCCCAAAGATGTGGCCGCACACTTTCTGGCACGCGAGCGGCGGAATGACGAGCTGTATTATCAGTCGTGCGAATGTGTGGCTGTCATGTTTGCCTCTATCAGCAACTTCTCTGAGTTCTACGTGGAACTGGAGGCCAATAATGAAGGTGTGGAGTGCTTGAGACTACTCAACGAGATCATCGCTGACTTTGATGAGGTACAGCAATTTCTGACAAACCTCCAGACTGTTGCGATGCTTTTAAGCTACTTTGGAGTGTGATACTGTAAAATTGACTAACTTTCTTGCATTTCATTTTCTAAACCTTATTTGCAAAAGCTGCATTTGGTGTTGAAAAGACTATCAATCATGAAAATAATAATAATAAAACAAAAATAATAATAAAAACAATAATCAGTTTAAAGTAATTTATATTTAAATGTGTTCTTCGTAAAATCTGTATATATATGTGCGTGTATTGTGTTTTTATTTATTAGTATTTATTAGTAAATAAATGGAAAAAAGCCCTTATTTTTTAAACTAGATTTATACTGTATTTTAGTTATTGCATGAAAGATTTTTTTATTTATTTTGCAACAGATGGTCTTTATTTCAAATTAAAGCAGTGTGTGTGTAAAGCCTACATCTTCAAATCTTTCTAAACTGATTGTATTCTTAGAAATGTAGAAGTTTAATACCTTCTCATTTCTAGATGAAAGTCATCATCACCTTATTTCACTTTTCTTGCAGATCATTAGTGAGGATCAGTTTCGTCAACTAGAAAAGATCAAAACCATTGGCAGCACCTATATGGTCGCGTCTGGGCTTAATGACTCCACTTATGATAAAGCAGGAAGGTCGCACATTCGCGCTCTAGCCGACTACGCTATGCGCCTCATGGACCAGATGAAATACATCAATGAGCACTCTTTCAATAACTTCAAAATGAAGATCGGTAAGGATTTGGCTTAGCCACACTTACATTTCCACCAATCACCTCCCTTATCTATAATTTTAATTTGTGTCATTTTATGAAATGGTCCCTTTACCCTTTCAAAAAGGCTTTCTGTAGGATTTAAACACTCAGACAAAGACTTTCATAGAATGACCCATATATTTTACTGTTGTAAAATGAAAAGTATGTTGTCAAGAGAACTCATGAATTACCTTGTACTGTAGGTCTCAATATAGGTCCTGTCGTGGCTGGTGTCATAGGGGCTCGTAAACCGCAATATGACATATGGGGGAATACTGTGAATGTAGCCAGCCGTATGGACAGCACTGGGGTACCTGAGAGAATACAGGTGAGATGCATTTTTGATCCTTTATGTACTGTAGGGTCTAAAAGATTGAGTCCACACTGAAAATCTGTCATTCAAAATTAAACCTGGTAATAAATACAGTTTTATGGTGTTGAAAATGTTTAAACAAAGAAACATCATGTGACATAATTAACAAATATTTAATGTTGCTGCTATTTTGTGGTTTATTTAAATTTTCACTTAAATTGTTATTAATAACAATAATAAGCCCTACATCTTGAAACAAAAAGTCTGCTTATTTGCAGTTAAAGGCTTAATATTACCTAATTTGATGATGTTGAGTTAAAAAATATAATAATAAAAAATAAACTTTCCACCACATACAGTTTTTTCACAAATTAAAAATGAGGATTTTTCAAATTGTGTGTGTGTGTATATATATATATGTATATGTTTTGCACATATTTTGTGAGAAAGTGTGATGTGCTAGAGCAAAAGAGGCACAATTTTTGGAATCAGCACCTCAAAATTAGTAAGAAACAAGCATTGGATTTCATTCAGAAAATACAATGCAGAGCGGTATAATATAATTTGAAATAAATATACAGTATTAATTAAAACAAGGTAATTTGTAAATAATTTAATTATTTGTTTTATTATTATTAATAATACATTTTAAAATAAAATGCAGAACACAAGCATTTTCACTAGTGGTCTCAAGTTAAGATCAGTAAATCTGTTGATTCTGCTTTACAAACTCTTCGGTCCTTTATAAATACTCATGTGCTCTTAATTTCTCTCTGTATCAGGTCACAACTGACCTCTACCAGGTTCTCAGCTCCTATAACTACACACTGGAGTGCAGAGGCGTTGTGAAAGTCAAGGGCAAAGGAGAAATGACAACCTACTTCCTAAATGGAGGACCTAACAGCAGTTAACACTCAACGTCTGATATTCAGAACATTTTTGAGATGACATGGAGAGGAGGCGCTGTGGGCCGGGCCTGCCAGGCTGTTGAAGGGCATCCTCCTGGACCAATCACAATAGAATTTGTTCAGAAACAGCCCTCAGCCAGTCTAAGAGTGGCCTCTTTGCACACTTAAGACTTCCTGTAGGATTAATGGAGGGCTTTGCCCCCTTTATTTAAGGCATGGAACAGCTCAGAAAGATGGTTCATCCTCAGAGACCAAAGAAACAAAGGAATCTCAAGGCATACAAAGCAGTTCTCCAGTCTTATATTTCTTATATTGGCAAGAGAGGACAGATGAACTGCATTCTCTGCACCTGGCTTTGGCTCTCTCAGGTGTGGCGGGACTGCGATCTTACTCCACCGACTGGTCCCGGTTGCTCCAAAACAAAACTGCATGAAAACACTGAATCCAATATACCTGTAAAACACATGTTTTATGTGTATATGATTCATCAGTGTATGTAAAGAGTTCTGTTCATATGGTCCTGTTGGGTTCAACACTGTCTAGGTGATATCACAGTAGATAGAGATATCACAATGAGCTAATTTATGGTAGAAGGCCATAGTGAGCACAGCAGCTCTACAAACCCTTTATGGTTTCCCGAACTTTGCCGCAGCGACTGTGGTTGTTACTGGTAAAGGAGCTAGCATGGACAGTGTTACCTCTGAATGATCTAGAGTTGAGAATTAACTTGAAAGGACCCAAAGTCATTCATTTTCAGGTTTGGGATTTGCCCAGGTCCAACAATGCAACAAATTTAGACTGATCTGATGGAGCATGTCAATCTGTCTTCAGTCAGATACTGTAGTCGAGAATCGCTTTGACTAAATTTTGTCCTTGCAGCCAGCAATTTGTCTCTAATCATGTGCGGGGACAGTATTTAAAAAACGATGCATATGACAGTTAAGTGTATGTGGACCCAAATAGCCCAGCGTTTATGCTTTCGAGACAGATAAATGGCCGCCCACATTGACGAAGAGCACGCACTGATTCTCGTTCATCTTCAATATGATGCATAATGCACTGTTACAACTTGTATACAACACGTTTCCTTCCAGAATGTTTATTTTAGCAGCGTAAATTGGTTTGTTTAAAATAAAAAATGAGATTGAACAAGCAACCAACTAGTACGGCGGATGGTGACATGCAAGTCGCTGGCGGCATAAACAGGGCATGTGACTTACTGTTCCAAACGCAAATGTAAATTCACAAAACTACAGACACTTGTATACACCGAAGACACTTTTAAGGACAGAGGAGAACGGTCAAATATGGCTGTTTTTGTATTTTTAACATTTTATATTTTGACTCCAAAAGCCAAACTGTCAAAGCTATTTTAGATGATATATTTTATACATTAGTATATTAGAATGCTGTCTATAAACACACATACACTGACATATATATATATATATATATATACCTAATGGAACGCTACAATCCTGCACATTTGAACAGGAGGGAGAGGTTTTTAAGTGTAAATTCAGTCACTCATTTGTCGCTGCATCCATTTGGATAAAATCAGTAGCTAGCCTTGTAACCAAGTAAGCAGAATATGTTTGGCCTTTCTCCAAAAAGGGTTTCTGTATCCTGTCAAGTACACTACAATGTAATTATGAGTAGAAAATGGATTTGCACAAGGCAAAATGGCAAGTGAGTGTTTCAGAACAGCCACAGTCATTTAAAGCTTGGCAAACACATCTGCAAATATTGATTTTAGCCTTGTTTATGGTGCGTGGGACAACGAGATTGGATCCTCTAGGGATGATTCTGTTATGCCACATATCTTCACCATTTTTGCACTGCAGCTCGACCAGCATTTCCTTCTCTCTCTGTTCAGTCTGATGGTACGACCCAATGAATGTCCATTTTCTCCAGTGAGGCCTTTGTATAGAGTGTGTACACAAACAAATAGGGTACTCCATTAAGTTAAATGTTTGGTTTGCTTTACCCCTTTCAGATCTTCAATTAATTCAGATAGGATTATGATATAATGTGTTGAAAAAAATCTGCATTTTCTCAAACGTGTGTTATGAAATCGTAAACTATTTGGTCCTGTTCTAGCTTCTCAAAACTTGGACCCAGCTGGGCTTCCAGACTATATTTTCCTCAACAAAAAAAAAGTTTGTGCCATTGTCTTGCCATCGATTATAAAATAAAAGCTCTGGTTGAATGTTTTTTGCATTTCATGTCACCATGGCACATGTAGTATGATATTTTAATGCTAGACAACAGTTGCCATATGAACTCCTAAGGTAAAGGTGAAGTGTGTATTTTCTGCGCCGTTAGCGGCACCAAACGGGATTGGACACGCTCCCTTTCCGCCATTGGTCAAACGAAAATTTAGCCCCACCCTAAACTCACGCCATTGGTTGAGCCAGTGTTGCTGTGTCGGGCTGGTCGGGATTCTCAAACAGCAAAGTTTTACTCTTATCGCAGGATTTAGCTTATGAATGGCTTACTAGTAGGTATCTGCATATTTAACTGGGAGGATAAAGTATTTAAACATTAAAAAGTACACACTTCAGCTTTAATTAATTTCCTTGTGTTTGTTATCCAAACGAAAGCACTGAGGTAAGAGATGTCAAGTAAATACCACGTTATGTCCTGCTGAATTCTGGCATTTACTATTCCAGTGGAGCTTCATCTTGGATTGTCTTTGTTTATCTACCATGTCAAAACTCAATGCTGTGTTTTTTTAACATCCAAATAAACTATTATAATGTTAAACTCATTCAGAAATCATGTAGTTATGATTATTACAGTACCTGCAAAACAGTACTGTTTTGAAATTGCACTTGTGCTCTTCTCCACAGTATTTGGCAATGTAATTGGTTTTGTAGATGCTTTTGGTAATATACCTGAAAACGTTCTCTCAAAAATTACAATTCTGTCATTTAGTCGCCCTCTTGTCATTTTCAGTATTATGTTTATTTTCTCTGTGGAAATTAAATTGTTAGGTACATACAATTAAAATGGACGAGGACTGAGGCTGTCGAGCTCAAAAAGGACAAATAAAGCACCATAAAATAGCCAGGCTTGTGTGTAAATTGAAGGTGACATTAATGTAAGACAGAATTGTCATTTTTGAGCGGCCATCCATGTAACAGACATTGATGTTCTAATAATATTTGCATATCGAATCGGGATTGGTCGTTTGCATACTGTATTGTGATTGGCCTTTTCCGTATTTACATTTCAGATGATTGTGTGGTGGACAGCTGGACATCTAGACGGTTGTTATGCCAAAGGTGAAGTGCCTTTCAAATACCGGTATTTCCTTCAGGAATTTTATCTATTTTATGACATTTTATTACATTGCTGTGTTTTGACAAACAAACATACAAATAAATAAACACACACACACACGTGTGTATAAATTTGGGATGTTGCATTAGATATCCAGAAAGTGGCAGCAGTGCGCTTTCATTTTGCGACTCTAGTAATACTTGCCTCCAGTGTTTCTGTATGAAAACCTGTACAGCTCTCGATGTGCGCGCAGGTTATTAATTAAAACCTTTTTATCAAACCTTAAAACTGAGCTCTTTTTAGGACTTCCATAAAAAAAATGTGCCAAGAAATAGAAGTAAGAACGGAAAACCCCACAGAGCGGCTGTTTGGTCACTCAGGCATGTTATAATTCACATAGTTTTAGTACGCTTTCCCCACTGGCAAACCTGACCTTTTTTTATCTTAAGAATGTGCCCATGAACTACCCTCGTTTGGCTGTACTTGAATTTGGTCTCTGCATGCGTCCGATCCGGTCAGTTTGACTGAGCAAAGCTGTTTTATGAAGCATTAAAGAAAGGCCATTGTGCTGGGCGTGAGAATGGCATTTCACTGACATTAAAAACGGTCTCAGTTTGGGTTTGAGCCAGCAGTCTCAAGGTTAGAAAGACCCGAGGCGAAGCACAATGTCATAGAAATCAAAGAAAGAAAAACTCAAACCATTTCTTACACTTATGATGCAGTTCTGGAATCCTTGAACCACAAAGGAGGACAATTACATGGCGATTTTTTATTTTTTAAGTACTTTTTGTCCATTTTCCCCATAACTTTTTCCTCCATGATCTTCAAATTATTTGATTTTTCTCTATTTTTTTCTTCTTCAAATATATCAACCCTAACTAAGCTATACTATTTTTTTTTAATGGAGAAAAATCTGAAAAAATACAGCAAAAAAGTGAAATGGACTCAAATGTGTTTTTAACTTGTGTTTTTTCACCTCCTTTGTCCCCACTTTGTGATTCAAGGCTTCCACACACAGTAGTGTGCTATGCAACTATAAAATTAGAGCAGGAGTGAACATAAGCTGGAAAAAATAACATCAATTACACAGACCTTAGAAATGTAGACTTTTCCCCCTCACTAAGTACAAATAAGTCTAATTAGGCTGTAATGTTTGCATACACAAAAGCATTCACTGCATCACCTGGAACATTTCTTTCATTAGTCACGCTTCTATAAGCCAAATAACTTCCTCTAATAACCACAATCATCATCATCATCATCTTCATCATAACTGCAGCTCTTAGGATTTGAGAATAACAAGCTCCTTCCCACACTTGACTTCAGTGACGCATTCAAACATTTTCATACATGAAAGAAAGTGAAGTAAAAAGTGTCTGTAAAAAATTGATGTAGAAACAAATTTCACAATTACATAGAAACAAGTAACACATTGAATTAAATGTGACGACCTGCTTGAGGACACAGTATGGATTCCCCTGTACACATTGGCAGAGTATCAGACATTAACCATCAGACACCCACTGTAACTAAACTGCAACATATTTAAAATGGTTTGAACAATAAATAACATTTTTTTAAACTAGATAAGACTTGGTAGAATACAGCTGAAATGTATAAAAGCAAAAAAAAAAAAAAAAAAAAAAAAAACTCCAATAATCTTTGTTTTATTTACAACTTCGAAAAATCAGTGTAGCCCTGATATCCCTACTCAAGTTGCTAATGTTTTATAAATGTGTAAAGTGTAAAAAAAAAACACACGAGATGCACACATATTCATACAAATTCAAGGCTTTTACTGATAGTTTCAGGACAGGGCCTTTCATTTGTGTACAAACACTCACGGGCAATTCACTACTGCTGGAGAGAGAGCATCGAGGTACATTGCAATGCAAAGATGCAGATGCAATCTTTGATCACTGACACTTTGGGGAAAAAAGAAAAAGAAATGCACATACATCTGAAGAATTTTGAAACCCCTTGACCCTTAATCTGTCAATCATGCGTTCAACCTGTCATTTGCACAATGAAAACAAGCCAAGTGAATAGAAACAGAATAAAACATAACTCATTCATACTGCTCAACATGGTCACTGAAAAGACCCATTGACAAAAGGCAGCAAACACTGAGGGGGGAAAACGGAGTCTGTATATTAGTGCGATTCCATTTCCCTCTTAGCCAACCACATTCATTTGCAGGAAGCACACCTGCAGGTAGCATAGACAATTGATAACACATCTGATTATGCTTTCAGAGCAGAGACGTCTGACTAATGACCACAAACACAGTGACACAATTTTCAAAGTTGAGGTGTATACATCATACAGCTGAATAAATAAGCTTTCCATTGATGTATGGTTTGTTAGCAATATGGGGTGCTGTGTGTACATTAATGAGGAAAAAAAATTAACTTAAATGATTTTAGCAAATGGCTGCAATATAACAAAGAGTGAAAAATTTAAGGGGGTCTGAATACTTTCCGTACCCACTGTATATATATATATATATACACTTTGACAGACCCTGTTCACAATCCACGTTTATTGTATGGAGGAAAGCCCTCTGAACATTCTTTGAGAAATCTTGACAGAATTTTCATTTTCGGGTGAGCTGTCTCTTTAAGTCCTGATGTCAATTAAAATTAAAAATAACTACAACTCCTTCCTACTGGAAAATATATTAATTGTGCACATCTGATTCATCTGCTAACACTTTCTTCAATATTCCATGCATGAATCTAATACTGTGCGCTTATGAAGTCACTATTATGAATCTTTTGCTTCAACTAGAACAGCAGTTTCTCATCTGTGCCCTCAACTGGATGTGAAACAGCAGTTTCTTAAACAATATCAAAATCATTTGGAAAACCTGCTTCACAAGCCATAGTTCTTTTGTCCTCAGATGGGGTGGGAACAGGTTGGGGTTGCCATATTGGGCTATGTTACGCAGTCTTGAAAGAGTTCAAGAGGGTCAAACGTTGTAGTCAGGTGATTTGCCCTGCGGTCGTCTCAGGTGGATCTGCAGAGTGATGAACGCTCCCACTGTCATGTGAAAGAGGATCTGCCACATGTTACGGAGTTCATACAGATACATGTTACATAGACAGATCATAGCAAAGGCCAGGAATGACTTGATGTTCCTCCAAACTGAGAAGTGGGCAAACAAGTAACACTACATATAGAAACAGAAACAAGAGGAAAGGTTTTTAAGCAGGAAGAAGAAAATTCATTACAAGTTTTGTTGTAAGAATAAATCTAATAGAATGTAGTAAGGTTTATGCCCTACTATTCAAAAGTTTGGGGTTGATATGATTTTTTTTTTTTTTAAGAAATCTCTTACACTCACAACGTTTGCATTTATTTGGTGAAAAATACATTAACCATATTTTGAAATATTATTACAAAAAAAAAAAAAAGTGTTATTATTTGAATATATTTTAAAATGTAATTTACTGCTGTGATGACACAGCTGAATTTTTAGCAGCCATTGCTCCAGTCTTCAGTGTCACGTGATCCTTCAGAAATCATTCTAATATGCTGATCTGGTTGTCAAGAAGCACTTCTTATTATCATCAATGTTGAAAAGTATTAATCATTTGTACTGATTAATACTTTTTGAAAACAGTGATATTTTTTCATGATTCTTAGAATGTTTGAAAGAACAACACTTATTTGAAATAGAAGTCTTTCAAAACATAATACTTTCATATCATACTTTTGATCAATTTTATGCATCCTTACTGAAAAAAAGTATCCATTTCTTAAAAAAAAAAAAAAACATTTACTGGCCCCAAACTTTTGAACAATAGTGTCTTTTCTGAAAACAAGTTAATATATTAATATCAATTTTTGTAAATGTATTTTGTTATGAGGATGTTTAAATATTTTCACAAGGAAAGAAGACAAAAATACTGTTTAAGTATTAAGTATCTACAATACTAGCTGCTTTTGTTTGATGCTAGTAAAAACGCAATGTTTCTCCAATTTTCCAGATTGTGCTTTGACATGACAGTGAGGAAAAGTGTGATATATTAGCATTGGTTGGTCAGACAGAGACAGAGGGCAGAGGAAATGAAGCCTGGCAGGCCGACAGTAACTCACGGTCTGACTGCTGTCACTTACCTGATACAAACAGGTCGCGGTTCCGAGGAAAAAGGCAATTACGTAATTAAAGTCTTCATCCTCGTTCTGCAGATGGAGCAGAAAAAGAGGAAAGACAGGATGCTGTGTTAAAGAGTGAACAAATTATAACAGAAAAGCCATGTGCTAAAACAGGATGAATTACTTAGAGCCAAGACTCGAGTGCTCACTTATCAGTGCAATGTACAAAGCGAAGCAAAACTGTTCTGTTTATGGAAGAGAAAAGTCACTTTACAATTACAAGTGCAAACTAAGTCTGACAAATTATTCAAGAGAACTGTTACTATCCATTAGTTATGATTTATCATATTACAATGGCACTTACACATTTAAAAGTAATGTTTAGTCCAACATTTTAATCAATAAAAGAAACAAAGCCCAAAATAAAGTGCCAGCATTACTATTAGTGCATGATTTAAGTTACCTGCAATACGCTTTCTATTGCGTGGACTCCCCGCAGCAAATTAAGAGAGCCGCACAGGACACTTAGGACACAGGCAACGATACCCGACAGGGTGACGGCCTCCATCATTTGATTAGGAGCTGCAGGAATAAATCAAGCACAGATTCTGTGTCAAACAGTAGCAAAATAACTAGATTTTAAGATTTGCGGAAGGAAACCCGCCGTGCAAAACTTCTACCATTATGCTAGGCTGTTCTGAGTACGTATGTGCTCATGGTCTTTCAAAATGCTCTGCTTTGTAAGAACAAAAGTATACATATTGTGTTCACAGCATGTTCCCTACCTATGCCTTTATATTTAGACTGCTTGTGTTGTGAGAAGCCGTTGATTGATCCAATGTCCTCCGCGGACAGCTGATAAGGAGGCCGGAGCTTGATCTCAGTCTGCATTTCGGCCAGATTAATCTTGGTGGAGAGGGAACGTGGGCTGTTGTAACGTTGCTTGGTTTTCCGAATGAAGTTATCTGTCAAAACCATAGAAACGGCACAGTAAATGAATGCTTCAGGCACAACATGGTCTATATGTTACAAATCACATTATTTTTATTTAGATAAATCCCAAAGATTCCTAGCCAAAATGGAGCCTCATAAGTGACTGCATTTAAATGTTCCACATTAGATGCAACTCCGTTAATGTTTACTCAGTTTACTCGCCATTCAAATAATGCTCTTCAGAGACTCAACTAATGCTCAAGGTTGGCAAAACTGCCCATGTAGAACTAATTTAGGCAGAACTAATTATTTCAAATATTTTTCAGTTCAGAATATAATAGTCTGAATTGAATGCGATAAGATATTTAACAACAAAATAATGGCAAGAAAAGGTATTTCTACTGAGTTGTCCTGATTCTTATTGGCAGATTCTTTTAATTCTGAATAATAATAATAATAATAATCGCAAACTCAGGAGTTATCGGTTTGAATAAGCCTGACAAATCCATCAGCCATCCATTAGTCTAAGCAGATCGTAGAGACAATTGCTGCCAAGGGTTTCTACAATCTACCTAGGCTTACTACGCTTTTGGCAAATGCAGTCCAGAATGATTAATGAATCAACATCTGACTCAGTCACTCACTGAACTGCAAGTTCTTACTACTTTCAGTGATGTCCGTCTCTAAATGAAGCACGTTTTGTGTACTTAAGGTTCATTAAACTTAAATCAGTATCATTACTGGCTTGTTGGTTGTTCATAAGGTATCATGTAGTTGAAGATCATGTTTGAGTTGACATTTTGAGTAATAAATTATATTTACTGCATATTGACTGTTTATTAGTACATATAAAGCACATATTAATACCTTATTCTGCACGACCATATTTTAGATCCCTTAATCCTACCCCATACCTAAACTTAACAACTACCTTACTAACTATTAATAAGAAGCAAATTAGGAGTTTATTAAGGAACAACTCTTAGTTAATTGTGAAGAAATGTTCCCTAATCTAAAGTATTACCATTTTTTTTTTTTTTTTTTTTTAAGAAATTAATATTTTATTCAGCAAGGATGAATTAAATGTATCAAAAGTGATAGTAAAGACATTTCTAATGTTGCAGAAGATGTTTTTTTCATTAAAAGCTGTTCTTATGAACTTTCTATTCATCAATCCTGAAAATCCTGAATCCTGAAAAAAAGTATCACAGTTTCTACAAAATTATTAAGCAGCACAACTGTTATCAACACTGATAATAAGAAATGTGTTTTGAGCACCAAATCATCACATTAGAATGATTTCTGAAGTATCATGTGACACTGAAGACTACAGTAATGGCTGCTGAAAATTCAGCTTTTTCCACTTTGAGGAATAAATTACATTTTAAAACATATAAAAACAGAAAACAGTTATTTTAAATTGTAATCATATTTTTTTTTTTTTACAATATTACTGTTTTTACTGTATTTTTGATTAATTAAAATGCAGCTTTGGTGCGCATAAGACTCTTCTTTCAAAAACATCTTACTGACCCCAAACTTTTGAACAGTGGTGTAAATGTAAAAAAATTAAATAAATTAAATGATATTAAAAATATATTTAAATATAGTCTCCTTCTGCACAAAGAGATTTCTGTCAGAAACCCGTCCCAATGCCCTCTAGAAACCCACCAAACTCAATGAAAGAGAAGGGCCTCAAAGCGCCGTTGATCCGCTTGGTGTCATACGTGACAATGAACTCTCTCTGAAGCTCGTCCAGGAAGCTGAAGGCCAGGACATTGGGATAGTTTTCTGTGCAAACCATCAAGTACCCGACTCCAAGAGAGCTTGTGAAACTATGAAAAGCAAGACATGTAAAAGTTTACATCATACTCAATTTTATTTAAATAAAATTTACAGGACATCTGCCACAGATAGGGTGGGAAAGGTTATTGAATGGACAATCGAAGTCCATTTTAAAGACCTGAAAATCCAAACAACCATACTGCTTAAAAATCAGCCTTTACACCTGTTCTGAATCTGTATGTTCACTGAGTTATCTTTGAACACTCTGTTTTCCCTTTGAGGACAGTTTAGTGACTCGCCTCAGGAAAGAAACTTTGTCCATGTGTCTCTTCATATTAACGTCTGTTTGGAGAGATGAAACAATCCATTGAGTCACTCCAGAGCCTGCTTATGAAATTTAAAGTAATGAATAGCAGCCAGACTATGAAATGGTCACCCCTGGGTCCCTCAGTGTAATGCGTCTGAATTAGACCTTGCTGAAGGGGAACTTTAAAACAGTTGGCAGTCAGAGCAGTCCACGCCACTGTGTCATTTGTTTTTGCTGGGTTGCTTAAATTAAAGGGACGGTCACCCAAAAATGAAAAATCTGTCATTATTTAGTCATTATATTCAGTCGTTCCAATCCTGTATGACTTTTTTTCCTTTCACAGAACACAAAATGAGATATTCTGAAGAATGTTACAGCTACCATACAACCTGTCAAACTCCAAAATAGATGTACAGTATGAGTAGATTATGTTTACTGTGTTTTTAAATTATTTTTGGAGCTCGACAGCCCACAGTCACTATACTGTATGCTTGCACTGCATGGAAAACGACAACATGAAGCCGAGTAAATGATGACAGAATGTACATTTTTGAGTGAACTGTTTCTTTGGCCGCAAATTTATCAAAATGCTTTCACACCAAATTGAATTGAAATGGACGATTCGTGCATGATTGCTTCCCCATGTGCCCTCAATATAATATAATTAGTTCTGATCGACAGTCATTAGAAATATAACAAAGTGTTTGCTTTTGCCACAGTTTGCGATGGTAGATAACTATACCGGAAGCTTGCGTAGCACTGAGATTTTGGCAGAAATTTTAGGCAGTAGGTGTGCATAGAGATTTAGAGAGTTAGTAAAGGCGAGTTGCAAAAAAACATGGTTCTAAATGTGTAGGATTGTATTAGCTCAGTAATTACGTGTTTCAAATAAAAATTCTACATTGCAAAGAACTTACAGACAGCAGCCACATTGTCATTGTCAAAAATGACAAAAATCAAGTACAAATGCATTTCCAGTGTAATACACTGCAAACACTACAGTTGGTTTAACACCATTGCATTAATAACTCACTTAATGTTGTAAAGGCCAGATCTGAGTAAGCAGCGATCAGGAAATTGGCTGAGTTTTTTGGACAGACCCTTGAGATGTTTCTTAGTCTCCTGAAATCCTTTATCCTGTTCGTAGTCTGTGGAGGCCGAGAGTGGTAGACCGTCCCTCACTCTCACCACAGAGGCAAACAGCACCACAGACATCTTACAGACACCTGGAAGAATGAGAGAAAATCTCATCTTTTTTATAATTAAATATACACTTAAATAGATATAAAAAAAAAAGAAAAAAAATCATTCAGTGCATATAATACTCCATCCCGCCACTCTCTCTGTTTTCTGCTGTCAAAGTAGAATATAATATACAAAAGCAGAAACTAAAATAATAGGAAATAAGCACGATAGATAAAGTCTAGAGTCTCCTATAAATTCTATTATGTTCAACTCTGTGCAGACTCATGAAATCTGCAGCACACTGTGCTAGGCTAATAACAACATTAGCATGTTTGCTGATAGCTTGTCATCAGATCACATCTGCCGACAGTCCTATGCACTAGTTACAAAAGTACACATCTAATTATACAGGATTATAAGACTTTAACTGAAAGCAAATCATTAAAAATACACTTTGCAATTATACGCAGTCATGCGGAGTAAGTTAGATGTCACTGCTACCATAGCAAGACTGTTAGCAACATGAAATTAAACGACTCTTACTGCATGCATTGTCACTGTTAGCTGTACATACCTACTGACACAAGCCGTTTTAATATATATTAAGACATTATAATCCTTTTTTAGATATGTTGCTAATATACTATCGTGATCGCTGAGCTCTTCCTGCAGATTTCATAGCAGATGCTGCCGCTCTCACGTTTGATTCAGGTTCGGCCAATTTCGTCTAATCTTCGTCGTAGTTCGGCTTAGCTTCGGCTTTGTTCGGCAAAATTCGGCTATGCGTGTGAGTCTGTGTGACGTAGCTGGATGCAATAGCATTATGGGTCACTTGTGAACTTCAGCAAACCAGTCAGACTGTAAATCATTTATTTGTCTTGGGAAATTGGATGTGACATTAAGATCTTATAAAATAATACTTCTTAAAATACACAGCCTACATTATATTAATTACAAAACGTGCTAAATTAAGATGTGATATATATGTGTGTAGATCTGACACCTTTCTGTAGCTTGTCCCCTGATTTTTTTCTCTGTTTCAACCAAACTTTATTTGTTATATCAGAACATAGGCTACATGTTAATAACTTAGCAGCATATTGAGCGGCGTGTGTGTGGTGCATATGGGAAAGAGCAAATTCATGCTATAAAATAGTGACGCAGAGGAGTTTCTTGAAAAGATTTATTATGCAGTTATGATGATGACTGTAAATTCATATTTAGTTACTATTTGTGAGGGAGTCATCTTACTCGAAGTGTTTAACTTTACGTTTCCATTTTAAAATAAAACATAATAATAATAAAAATGTAATATAAATACGTAAGCTAATCAATTTCATTCAGTGACAAAAAATAGATGAATACAGTCAGATGGAATAAATCACATCACAAATGTTGATGTTTAGATGACTCAGACACACCATCAAAAAAAAATAAAAATTGAATTGATCATGGTCATGCGGGCATCTTATCCTGTAATATTTCATGTTAAGTGACTGCCACATACATATCATATGCACATCTCAGTTGTTCAGCCTCTGCTTTGAGTTTAAACATCCTTGTTTTTTTTAAAGCTCATTAAGCACAAAATCAGCCTTTTTTTTGTAGTGTTTTCTGACAAACCCATGATCTTTGATGTGAATCGTTCGAATTCATCATTCATTATTCAAGGATGAAACCGAGAGCTCTTCAGCTTAAAGTGACCTCCTGGAAACATCCACTTCACAGCATGCAGTGTGAGCCATGCACTGAATATTGATTCTCTCTACATGGACAGCGTGATGAATAGCTGGCAGTCTAAAGCTGTATTTAGTGCAGGAGTGTCAGGGTGACAAGTGAAGATGTTGTCATTCATATTGACAGGATGTGGAGTGGTAGAGTAGGCTGAAAATACTGCAGCAACATATGGAAGAGTAAAAGATTAACCTGATGCGGTAGTAATATCAATTTTATGGATAATTAAAAACAACAGCAGAATTATTATGGATTTCGAGCAATGCTAAACTCACAGCCTTATGTGTCTTTTTTCATAAAAACCCAATTAAAGCGCAAAAATGTCATTTTCTTATTCTGCTGCTTTTGCTGCTGAGAAAATATAGCCTATGCTTTTTATTTTTTATTTATTTGTTTACTTTTACTGCCACATCTGTGAAACAAGGGGAGAATGAGTTTGTATGGATTTCTTGGCAAGTGGTGCACATCATTTTGATTATTGCTTTCAGAGCGAGGGTGAGGAAAATCTTTATTCCTCCAGTAAAGATAATGGGGGTGTATTTATGCCATTGACTTCTGTTACTGAGAGATTTGTCCCAGTGACTCGTATTATTGAATATTTGCATGGGCTATTCATTTTCTCGCCACAAGCTGAAAGGACTGTTACTGATAATTTCAATAATGTGAAACAATATGTCCTACAACAGGGAAATGTGAAGACAATTTGCACTGTCGAATATTAACAAAATAATATATCAGGCTTTAGATTCACAGTCATAAAAATTGAATTATGGGTAGGATATGAATGTACAGCTATTGATGAACAGCTCTGGGACTTTTCATTCTATCATTCCACTTGTTTGTAGTTTGCCGTCCACACATTGTGTCTGTATTAGTATTGGCGATTTTTCAGCAACTCTCTCTCCGCAGGTTTCATAGTTACGCCAGTAGGTGCCGACAAGTGACTGTGTTTATGAGTGAGTCATTAATTGAATCGATTCGTTTAATTATTCATGATGTTATTTATGAGTGAGCTTTGAATCATTAACTCAACCGATTCTTTCAAACACGATTCTTGTAGGAAGCAAATATCGGGAAATACGCGCGAGACGTACGTGAGCGGTCGATTCGCTGGATCTTCGTTTGGATTTTCGTTGGCGGAGCGAACATCAACAAAGTAGTCGCAATATTATTGTAAGTAAAATGTAAGTTAATCTGTATTGGGAAGAAAACAAACAACAACAGTTAACTTACTTTGCTCGAATGGAACCAAGCAATTATTATTCAGAATTGCTTGGTTCCATTCGAGCAAAGTAAGTTAACTGTTTTTGTTTGTTCCACACATTCATTTCTTGAATCTGGCGTGCTCTGCCACTGTTAATCCAAGACGGCCTCAGTAACACATGTATAGTTATAATAATAAATTAAATGTAATATAATAATACTAATTTAATGATTAAAATTGCGTAATCAATGCATTGTATTTTTATTATCAGCTTATTCAGTTTTTCAGGTGGATTTTGAACTGGTTCTTCTCTTCCTGAATGCCAGCGTTGTTGCTATGTGCTTATATTTGACAGATAGAAATGATTATGCATTCAGTATGGATTGGCAAACAATTTCCTGGTGATAAAGAAAGGTGTTTGACGGGCCATGTCTGGATTATGACAGCTCGCCATATCCTGTATGTTTAAGGTCAGTGAGATGGGATACACTTTATTAACTTTTGGCATCACCAAATTATACAGAGAAAGTATATGTACTCTGTATGCTTTACACAGCATAATGTGTATTTATCTTCTATTTCTTAACTTCCATTCATGCTGGCATTTTCTTGTCCTCCTTTCACCCCTGGTTCTGACATGTAGGGGTGCATCCAGGCAAAAGTAGTTGCCTGCTCCCTCAGTAAGCTTCCTCCATGTAATTTTGATGGAGCCATCCTTCTCTCCAAACCATTAAACAGTCACATATTGCACTTGACAACATGCATTTCACCAGCAGGTGTTTCTCCATGGGCAGCCATTTAAATGTCCAACAGTGACTCATCCCTTGAGTTTCTAATCTGGCAAACAGCTCATGCCTCTTACAAGGGTTCTTGTGCAGTTTGATGGCAAAGGGCTCGGCTCGTTTGAGATCATGACAGAATTAGTCCAGGAAGACTTTCGTAAACAAAAACACCTGACAGAAAAGTTTGATAAGAAATTACTCAGGAACAGCACAGCAGTGCTTGTTTTCTCAGTTTCATCAGGAAATTTATTTGTTGTACTCTGTTGTAACCACCATGACAGCATAGGTGCTAAATGACAGCAGGGGAAGACAAATTTTCTCCTTCATTTCAAAAGTAGCGACATATCTTCCCATATTTACCATGACCGTCTCTACAGAAAGACAAACAAAAAGGAACAACTCCAAAATAACAGGCTTGTGGTCAGATGTGGTCACTCTTGGCTTCATTAACCTGACAAATTGGCCATTTTCATATAGTATGATAAAAGCCGATATCTATTAAGCATGTGTGATTGTATTGTTATCCTAATTTCAGGGAAGTAAAAAAAAAAAAGTTTACATCAAGTATGTGTGGCTTTATTGCAGACACTAGCTTTCAAACAGAAAACAACTTAGGTGTCGGCCAGGTAGACAAAGTCAGCAAACTAGGCTGCATTTGTCCTTTGGTGTTTAAGAACAACAGCAAAAGTTCACAAATGTTTCTTACAAATAGTGCATTTTTATTTTCTTTGTGCTTGCCTGTGCAAAACAAAGTAAAAAATTGGTATGGTGCCCAAGTGTTGCAACGTGGCTATTAATATTTTCTGGTTATTTTTTTTAGCATGTTGTTGTGCGGTTGCCTACTGGCACAAGTCAAAAGAGCCTACCTAAGTCTCAATTATAAGATATTATAAGATCTCTATGATAAAATATTCTGATATATCTTCAATTTAGGTCTATGGATTTTTTTTACCATCACCCTGGGAAAAAATATAGTGAAACACTCCATTACAACCCTGTTTGTATTTCATCTTGAAAAATTAAAAAAATCTAACATTTTTGCACTTTAAAATAGTATTCATTACCAAATAAGAAGTAATGTTCACAATGTTATTTGAATAATTTTGACAATGGTTCTTGGAAATGTATGCCTTTTATTTTGCATTGTGTTCATCAATGCAGCAAAACTGTACATATGGCTGGGCACAAAAAAATAAAGGCGACAGTGACTTCTTGGCATTGTGGTAGCTCCCACATTCCACATACCTTTGGGATAAGACAAAGCAGACCTTTCAACAAGAGAATAACTGAAAGGAACCAGATGAAGACCCCTGACCATCCGAATATTGATATAAATGTCAATGCACAAATGAACCATGTCTTGACAGCGGTTGCACGTAGTGAGACAAACCTGTGCAAGCGTTCACCCACATCTGTCATTTTGGACCATTATTGAACATGTTCTGGCAAGCTATCTGTACTCTTCCCCTCAACACGACCTTTTTACGTCCAGCTACATGATACAAATTCAGCATGTGTTCCTGCTTTAACCTTACAGACAGTATTTTGAACTTGAAAGCTAGTATCTTGCATATAATTGACATCTATGCATCAGCGTTCCTTGGCTCATGTTTTATTCAGTACTTCTTGCCACACATTTGGCAAGGAAATGTAAACTAAATTCCTGCTCAATGATTATTTTTTTCGTGTTCCATCTCCCAAAGACACATGTAAACAATTCATAATTTGGCGACGTGAATAGAGAACACCCAACTGGATTGCAAATTACAATGAGCGATGGTGCTCTTCAATTGTGTTTCACTATCCCTGAGAACCTTATTCATAATGAAATGAACCAACCCTCTGAATTATACAACAAAAGTTCAGCTACAAGACCATTAAATATGTATACTGCCTAGAGCAGGGAGTTTTCCACACACATAATAGTGGAGTCGCCACAGAGATACTGGTGCTAAGATAAGCGTGCTAACATTTGGCAGAGAGTTTAAAC